GTCCGCCCAATAACTTAAGATTCCTTTGACCAACAGTCTTCATATTTGGCATTGAGGTTAGTCATGATAAGTAGATGACCCCTATTGATTTTGATGTCACCAGTTCAAAAGTCAAGGTCACAGGGGCCTTGACTTCAAAAAGCTTGTCCGCCCAATAACTTAAGATTCCTTTGACCCACAGTCTTCATATTTGGCATGGAGGCTAGTCATGATTAGTAGATGACCCCTATTGATTTTGAGGTCACCAGGTCAAAGGTCAAGGTCACAGGGGCCTTGACTTCAAAAAGCTTGTCCGCCCAATAACTTAAAATTCCTTTGACCCACAGTCTTCATATTTGGCATGAAGGCTAGTCATGATTAGTAGATGACCCCTATTTGATTTTGAGGTCACCAGGTCAAAGGTCAAGGTCACAGGGGCCTTGACTTCAAAAAGCTTGTCCACCCAATAACTTAAGATTCCTTTGACCCCACAGTCTTCATATTTGGCATGGAGGCTAGTCATGATTAGTAGATGACCCCTATTGACTTTGAGGTCACCAGGTCAAAGGTCAAGATCACAGGAGCCTTGACTTCAAAAAAGCTTGTCCGCCCCTATAACTTAAGATTCCTTTGACCCACAGTCGTCATGTTTGGCATGGAGGCTAGTCATGATAAGTAGATGACCCCTATTGATTTTGAGGTCACCAGGTCAAAGGTCAAAGTCACAGGGGACTTGACTTCAAAAAGTTTGGTCTGCCCAATAACTTTAGATTCCTTTGACCCACAGTCTTCATATTTGGCATGGATGTTGATCATGATTAGTAGATGACCCCTTTTTATTTTGAGATCACTGGATCAAAGGTCAAGGTCATAGGGACTTTGACTTCAAAAAGTTTGTCCACCCATTAACTTAAGATTCATTTGACCCACAGTCTTCATATTATGCATGGATGTTGATCATGACTATAAGGTGACCCCTATTGATTTTGAGGTCACTGGGTCAAAGGTCAAGGTCACAGGGACCTTGACAAAAAAAGCTTTTCTTCTCAATTGCTAAAGAATGTCCTGTCCGCAATGTATTGATTTTGACATTTTCACATTTGAAGCATGTAGAATACATAACTTAGCAATGCACTGGCTTAGTAACCTCAGATTTGGCAGGGAGGTTGTCCTTTAGCTCTAAATGGCCACTGTTGATTCTGACAAAGTGGTATGCGGGGGTATTCACGCCATGATAGTGGCAGTTCTAGTTATGAATACTTTTGTTTTCCATTGGCATAAGCATGTTTGTATGAGCTTGAGCACATTCCTGAGAGGCATCTGAAAGATTAGTGCTAAAATCTGTAAGTGTATATTTATTCGCGTAGATATCAAGGATTACTCCTATATGAAGTTAATATTAATAGAGTAATAAATGATGAAAAGAAGTTAAAATTATCTATTTTAAAGTTAAAAACATTTATACTGTGCCTTGTAATGAGTCAATTACTTTTGAAAGTGACTTTGTTTTAAACGTCATTCGTGTAAAAAGTTACCACGTTAAACATTTCAGGAAGGTATATTCAGAATAAAAGGTAGTTCTACCTCATACACATACTTAGGCCAATTGAAAACAACAAGAAATATGTGTAACAATTTTGATATGTTGAGTGCATTGGAAAAAAAACACAGGTATTCAACATACATATTTGTTTTAGTTAGGGGAGGGCTTTTGTCCGCCTTGTTAATTTCACGGGAGGGCTTTTGTCCGCCCAGTCATTTTCATAGGAGGGCTTTTGTCCCCTCTGTTATTTTCAGGGTTTTTATAAAAGTTAAATCTCAAATAAAAAAATAATAGTTTTTAAAAAAAAAAGATTTGTTTACATATAAAGTCAGACATTAAACACTTGGTAGGTAACAAAATTGTTTAAGAAGTTAGTGTAGACTTGTATTGCTTGACATGTCTGCATCATGTGTATTGTATGTACCTGTCAACAGGTAAATGAAATATCATTTCCTCAATCATTTGTTGTCTTTTAACACCTTTTTGTAGATAAGACTATCTGTCATCAAGCCAGGGTGTTACCTGGACATATCTTGACCTAGTCAAAACATAAAAGTTGTATATTAGAAAAATTCAAAACAAAAGTGTCACTCCTTCAGATGAATTATATTATATATATGAAAATAGTGTTACTGTCAAAATTGGCCAATCAAAACAAAGCTTTTCCTAGAAATACATTTAAGTCCTCTTCCCTGTTGTTGATGTACATTATCAGCTAAGTTATCATGGAGTTAACAGAATATCAGCATCTTGTTCAATTCATTAATTCTAACTATAGTGCATATCCAGAACAATCTACAGGACCATTCTTCAACGGCCCTTAAAAACAAGAGAGACAACTTCAAGGCAAAGGCAAAGAAATATTTTGTGAAAGGTACAATAATCTCACAAGCTTCTATACTTGTTATTTACTTTGCAGAAACCATACACATTTTTGCATATGTAAAACTAAAATTTAAACTAAATGATTAATGAAAGGTAAAAGAAATTGATTATAGGAGACTATAATGTGGAAATATTATCTAAAAAGAAGTTGAATTTTATTGAAAACATTTAAAAAATACAGCAAACATAATAAAATGAAAGTAACAAAAGTAACATAAGTATATGGGTGCAGTTGATTCATAATTAAATTTTTCTAATTCATTCATTTATTTATATATATAATCAATTGTTTTCATATTGTTCGCTGTTTTCTAGTTACTAGTTGACTAGTGTCTGAAGTTTCTTGTATATTATCTGTATAAAAATCATAAATGCATTTAGTTTAATTGGAGGGCACTATAGATTTCACAAGTCCATGTGTTCATCTGTCCATCCGAAACACTGGATCCGGTGATAACACAAAAAGTTAATAAATGTCACATTTGCAATAAGTGGGTGCATTTTTCTATAGATTTAAACATAAAAATTTGGAGATACATGTAGTATATTTGAAGGAACTTGCAAATCTCATGGCTGGATTTTGGTTTCCACGTCTCAGTTTAAGTTTATTTGTTGTAAAAGATGGCATATAGAATGGAGATTTTATTGATTTCTAAGTGAAGATGTCCTTGTTAGTTAACACCCCAGTTACACAGAGCCATCGGTGATTGATCGGTAGTTTTTTTAGCTAAATTATGGAGTGAACCGATGACAACGTATTTAACACTGATATCACCTATTGGTCACCTGTTTTCCACCTATCAACTGCTATTGGGGAAAGATGAGTTTCATCGGTGAAAAATTACCGATTGGGATTTTTAAACACGTTTAAAATTCTCGATCGGTGAAAATATTTAGAAAATAACCGACGGCAACCTATATCACGAGATATGCAAGCTCTTAATCACCGATATCACCGATCGGACAATGAATAACCAAATATGAATCACCGACCATATCTGTCGGAAAGTGTTTTAACCACTGATGACTAGCTATCAAAACACCGATTAATCAGGCGTTACGCCCGATTTAGCTTCCGATTTGCAACCGATAAAAACCAAAAGTATTTCAGCATTTAATCATCGACCCATTCCCGTTTGAGTTTGCTTTCTGTCACCGATGGCCGTTTACACAGAAAACCAGAAATAAAATCACGCATGACAACCGATCATAACAGCGAGTAAATTTAAAATTAAATGACCGATTGGGGACCGATCGTCTGTGTAACTGGGCCCTAAGATATATATTGAATTTAGTAAACTTACAGTAATTTTTCATAAAAAGGTTGAATTTTTATGAAAACTTGCAATTCTCATGACCAAGAATTATCAAATTTGCTTTTCATTCTGTAATGGTTTAAGTCAGATGATAGAAACATCATAAGGGCAAAATATCACTCACATATGTATTTTGTATGTGTAATAAATGTCATGTTTGCAATAAGTGGGTGCATTTTTCTATAGATTTTAACACATAAAATTTGGCAATAGTATATTTGAAGGAACTTGCAAATCTCATGGCTGAATTTTGGTTAAATCCACGTCTCAGTTTAATTTTTTTTGTCGTAAAAGATGGCATATAGAATGAAGAGTTTGTTGATTTCTAAGTGAAGATGTCCGTGTTAGTTAAGATATATATTGAATTTAGTAAACTTAGTAATTTTTCATAAAAAGGTTGAATTTTTATGAAAACTTGCAATTCTCATGACGGAGATAATATCAAATTTGATTATTATTCTGAAATGGTTCAAATCAGGTGACAGAAACATCATAAGGGCAAAATATTACATCACGAAAATCATACAAACATAACATTTTTTAAAACAAAGAGAACAAGCAAAGTAAAAATTTTTTCTAATATTTTATTCACGACAGATATATAAGCAAAAATTCCCATCTACAAAAGCTGATAACGGTACATGTTAATGTAATTATACAATACCGGTTGTTGATATATTAAAACATATACATACCAAAAGGGTTAATTTTTTGCGGTTTTTGAATCTGCGGTGTTGTTATGAACCGCAAAAATAGCAGAAATAAAGTTCCCGCAGAAAATAGTACTTATACTGTATTTAAAATGAATACCTACAAAATGCCTGTATGAAAGACATATGAGCCGCGTCACGACAAAACCAACATAATGGGTTGCAACCAACATGTATCCAGACCAGTCTGCGCATCCGGGCAGTCTGATCAGGATCCATGCTGTTCGCTTACAAACCCTAATGCTAGTAGAGAAACTGACAGCGGACAACATGGATCCTGATCAGACTGCGCGGATGCTCAGGCTGATCTGGGTCCATACTGGTCGCAAACCCATTGTTGGTTTTGCCGTGACGGTGCTCATATGTTAATTAGTGTATATTCATTAAAAGCGAATGGACTCTATAAACATTTGGGGTTTTGTCTGTCTCTCTAATAACAATATTAAATTCAAGAGATCATATTTTTGCAAGCAGAAAGTCCACTTTTTGATATTCGCAAAACTTTGGGGACGCATACATATCCACTTATTCAGAATTGTTTATATTATTTGGTTTCCATTTCAACAGGACGAAAATATTACAACAGCAGAAGTGGATAGTTATGTTGAATAAAGAGAAGAGAAAAGGGTTATGACAAACAAGAAAGTTGGTGCCAATGTAAAAAAAGCCCAGGCCAGACAAAAAAAAAAGACTACAAAAGAAGAAACACCAAGCAACGGTATACAGAAATTTCAGTTGGTGACAAAGTGTTAGTTCACAATACCAGGAAGGCCATCACGAAAAGAAAGGGCAACTTGGAACCAAATTATACCGGCCCGTACATAGTGACTAAGTTTGAGGGAAAGCTGGCTAATTTAAAGACCGTCTCAGGTGATGAACTTAAAAAAAAAATACAACGTTGATCAACTAAAGGTTTTAATCAGTCCAGAGACAGACGACCAGGATTTCACAACATCAACATCAACCGGACAAGAGCCTCAGCCGACATCTGGGTACAAGAGCAGTACACCATACATCAACCCAAAGGACCTGAAAACTAAAAGCTATCTTCAACAGATAAAAGCTGATGGGTCTCTAAAACAGCTGATTGAGATTGTCGCAAAAATGGACCTGTCAAAACCAACAAGCCTGTCAAATTTAAGTAGGATGCTGAAAGAATGCCCAATACAAAGTTTTGTGTCAGAGGTAAGATCATTGAATTATAGCAGCATAAGTTAAAAAAGCAAGTTCAAAAAAACATTTGTATTTTCATGAATTATAATCTTCTGAAAACTTTGGCTTCAAGACTTAAAAAGAGTTTAAGGTATTACAACCCTAATGGGCACTATAAGGAACTAAAAAATTGACATCATAGGTCAGATATATACCTTAAAAAATACACCTGTATGCAATATTTAAACAAAGTTTACCATCAGGAAATCAAGTGATCGCCACTTTTCAGAACTCAAGCTAGGATATTATGAGGGCCCCTTTTTTAGAAATG